TTTCAGGGCTTATAAAGCCTAGGCTTCAAAACTCAGTTTCTCCAAAAAATGCAATTTTTCAAGCTCAACCACTTATAAAAACAGATTTAAATGACAGTATCCTAAGCTCAACCTTTATTTTCAACTCTAATAGTTTTTCTCCCCTTCATTATGGGTTGCCCCTCCCCTATCCTCATAAGTGGGTGTTGGTTTTTTGTTTTGGCCAACATGTCTTTGAATGTTTTTATATAAAATAATATGATATTAATTTTATAATTATAATTAAGTTAAAATATACAAAAATCTCTTAAATTTTGAAACATGTCACAAAACTTTATTGATTACACCCCTAATTAAGAGTATTACTTTTATCTTATTTATAAGTTAAAATATACAAAACTCTCTTAAATTTACAACGTCAAGACATTAAAGAAAACAAGTGTAAGGTAATTAAAAATCAAAGAGATGTTAACTGTTTGGCCTCATCCTCCTCTAAGATTCGCAAGCTTTTTAGCCTTCAAACTCCATGAAAGACCTCTTTTTCATGCCATGGTCAAACTAAAACTCACATATCATTGGAGATGAAAACTTTGGATGGTTGAATGGATGGAAACTAATGTTGTGTATTTGTGTTTTTAGTGTAATGTAGGTGATAGACAAAATTTATGAAGTGAGATGGAAGAGAAGAGATGAAAGAATGAGAGAAATGAGTGGATGAGTGAATGGAATATGTCTTGGACGAAATTGCTCCATATGGATGATTGTATGAGTAATGAGTGATGCGTGGGTGAATTGTTTGAAATTATGTACGTGGATCAAGCCTAGAATGGATTTGGACACAAAAAGGATTAGATTTAGATTAGAAGGGAGGCATAGGAGCTGGTTTCAAGGTGATTTTGTTGACTACAAATCTAATTTTTTAAATCACAAAGTCAAAACAAGGATTAAGGAGAGGATAAAAGTTTCCTAATTAAGAGATTTGACTGATAGGCGCCACATACTTGTCATTTTGAATTTGAATTTTGCAGCTCTCTCTTCTCTTCTTACAAGGCCTTGCACGCTTAACTCAAACCCAAGAGCCTTCCTTTCTTGCCTTTAGCCCAATTAACACAAGTTCAAGTGCACTTATTCACCTAAGTCACAAAATAACATTTGATTTAATCTAATAACATATGTGTGATAAAATAAATTATATTTTTACATAAGGATTTAATTATTTAAATGGAAGAATATTTATAAATTAAATTCAAGAGCAATGCCAGGTAAGAAGCATAATGTAAACACATGTACATTAGCCCATATTATGTCAACCAAGTCAACAACCTTAAAGTATGACTTTTATGCAATATCTTCCAAACCAAAATGAATTTTTGAAAACAAATTATACCATTATGAATCTAGGCAAATATGAAATTTAATTTGAAAAAAACCCAATTTTTCAAAAAAAAGTGCAAATTTGGACCAAAATATCCCCAGTGCACAAATTCACCCCTTACACAATTTTATCACTTTTAACACAAAAAATGCACGCAGTTAGGGAATATATAATGCAAAATAGGTCCTAAATATATGGATAAAGTGTGTAAATAATGTGTCTAATCACCCCGCATGCGTATTTGTTTGTACGAGTTATAAAAAGATAAATATTGTGTCCGACTACATAGTTGTTAGTTTTGCGGTTAAGAAAAACTTTGAAAATTTGACTTGATTGCAAGATGATTGTGGTTGTCATTTGTATCAATAATTGATCGATATACAATTGTATAGACTAGATTGATCATAGTTATTGAATAGTTGTACTCACATCTCTTTATTTAATATTATAAAGGCTAGCTCATTGGACCAAGATCGGAGAAAACAACTAGAGGTATAGGATTCTCTGTCAATCCTACTAGTAGACCTAATAGTTTATTTATGTGTATTTTGATTTGTTAATTGCCAAATAGGATAACATGTGATTTATTTTGATTACTTGAACTATTATTGGAAATGATTTGAGGGTATATTTTGTATTCTAGGATGTTTGTGATGTGAGGATAAAGTGTTTATAGGGGCAAAATACTAATATATGTAGAGAGTTATGTAAATGATTGATTATGATGATTATTATGTGAACTTATGAGAATTTGACTTCCCTACATGTTTTTTTATATTCAAGGATTTGAACGTTGAAAATGTGATTTATAAGTGATTGATTTCTTATGATGTATTGCACAAGTCTGTATTAGTCCTTTGAGTGTGGTCTGAGAGTTAGTGTAAGCTCTTGGCACTTAAATTTATAATTTGGATACCCAAGTTGGGTTTATTGTGAAAAAGGCGTAAATTTTGGAATGAGTATTCAATTTTTGATTAAAAAATGATTTGATTATAATACCAGTGTCATTAGTTAGAGCTAGAAAAAAGCTCTATATAGACACATAAATCAACTTAATTAGATATTAGATAGAGAAATGAGTCACGTTGCAAGTTCGTACCATGAGCTGTGATGGAATGTGCAATGCACTGCAACTCAAGGTGCTTATACCGTAGCACATGACACGGAGGCAACAAGCCATAGCACGTATGCAATGAGCTGTAGCGCATCTCTGTTTTTGTTGCACTGTTTTCATGTTTTCAACTATTTTGCAAATGCATTAACTTGTTTTAAAATTCCATGCTTTTGTATATGTTTTTAACTCTAATTTGTGAATGATAAGAGTTTATTGGAGTGTTTTAAATTGTGAAAATTTGGGATCTTCATTGTTAAGAGTTGTACAACTTGGAAATTTTCTAATCATCCTCATGATTCTTGCACTTGGAGTCAAGAGTAAATTAGTAAAGGTAACATTAGTCTTTTACCTGGAGATTTTATAGTAGCTCTAATCCAGTTACCATATCGGGGCTTATCAGGATCAGTTTCCGACCGAGCTTGTTCAAACTCACATGCTTTGTTGTCATGGCTTAGATAGCCACAGTTGTAGCACAGCAAATGTAGCTTTTTAAACTTTATCGATGCTCGGGAATTTGGTCTATTGATTCGAGTAACCCAGAAACCATCAACCAGTGGTCTAGTTATTGGGACATCAACTTTGACGTGGAGAACTATGATTAAATCCTCGAAAACTCTTGGGTTCTTCATAAGCAAGGACTTTACCAATTCTAGAGCCCATAGTGATAATATTTCTATAAGTTATTCCTAACGTGGGTATACCATGAATTTGTATCCACAATGGCATGGAATCAAAGGAGATTTATTTTATGATCATATCAAGAAGAAGTTCACAAATACATAGGACATGGCCTTCTATGATCCATAGATGCTCTCAAATAACTTGTAAAAGCTCGTCCCTTCTTTCAAAACTTAAAATATAAATGTTATAAATACCAGCACTGTGGATAGAGAATTTACCTTTCACAGCCCATGCTCGGACAATCGATGCTTTCGTAGTGACTCTACTTTGGGGTTTAAGGGCAATGATTTTGCCCATCAAGGTCTTCACCTCTTCATCCTAGCACCATTTAAGTTGTACCTTTGTAGAGCTACAATTACCATCAGAGTTGTCTCCGTCTTCCATTCGAGTTCCTCAGGCTCCATTGGAGCAGGAAAGAGTACACTGTAATAGTATCACACTCACACACACACACTGTAAACTTTGAAGGCACAATTCATACACTTTTGGAGAAGCCCTGCCAAAAACAAGAGGAACGCACGCACAAGTGTTTACACTCGCACTTTTGTTTACTCTCCAAAACAAGGCTCATCCTTACAGAGAAGAAGAGGAGGAAAGAAGGGGTATAGAGGAGGGGAAGGAGAAAAGTGACGAGTGAGAAGGGTAGGACGTACACATGGCTACGACGCTACAAGGCTCTCATGTTTCTGTGGCTAGCTGGTGGTATTTGATTTTATTTCCACCATTATTTACAATGTCTATGCATCACTCAAGAAGAAATGCAGGGGGAAGAGAAAGGGGAATTGAGCAGGAGAATCAGGCATTGAGTACAAACAATTTTCTTAAAAAAATTGTAAGTACAGAGCTCAGTCTAATGGAGACCGAGTTCTGTACTTTTATGTCAGAAAAAATTGACAGACCAAGTTTCAATCTTACAGAATACAAGAAAATATTTTGAAAAGGGTAGTGTAATGGAAAAAAAAAAAAACTCTTTTTTGTAGCACGGTGGTTAAATTGCCAACGTTTGTTTCCATTTTACAAAAGAAACAAAAGGGTAAATGATTTAGTTCCAGGTAAAGAAGATGTTGATAAGTTAGTCCTACAATTTTTATAAATTGTAGAAAGATCCCTTGCCAATACAAAAGTCAAAGCATCATCTTTGGTTACCCCACCCCTTAAAAAAAAAAAAGCATCATCTTTGGTTATTGTGGAATTAATATGCTAACTGAGCTTCTTTCGTTAAAGATTGAGTTGCTTAGCCAAAAGAAGATCTAAAGCTTCAAAAGAATAATCAACAAGCTCAATTAAAAAAAATTCTCCACTTTCTATGCTCCACCAGATCCCCCAAACAAGGTTTTATGCTCCATTTCCAACATTCTAAAGGAAGGAACATTCTAATTAGTAAGCTACTATGCAAGTGGAACTTGAAAGTGGAATACACATGTACAAGTAATAAAAAAGTGACGCGTTGATTCTTATTTATGAAGCATCCAATGAATTATTGAAACGCATGTTTTAGTTAAAAAAAAATTAGTTTTGGTTTTAAAAAAATTAGCTAAAAAAAAATTATATCCTACCAACTCAACATTTTTCAATATGCATTATAATTACTTGATAAAATTTTAGGCCGTTGATCCTATTAACAAATTGTTAGACTGATGGTATTTTAATAGATAATGCTACGAAAAATAATCAATAACCTCAATCCAAGGTGAAAAAATTGGTCGATTAACTTCCACAAGGCTTACTGGGTTACAGGTTCTGAAAGTTTTTATAACATAGGGATCAAATAAGAAAATGTGTAAAGTATAGGGACCTGTGATTAATTGTCCCTTTGCTTTTAGCTTTTAAGTTTTAATTGCAATTTTCCAGAAGACGTATCGAGAGATGGGCTCTTCTCTTAATATCTTCCCCTGAAACTAACGAGTGCATTAAAAACCCTAGCTGCGAAGGCCAAGGCTGTAGGGTCTCTTACGTGATTCTCAGGCCCGCTATGATTGGCTGACATTTCGTTGAATCTTAGAGTGCAGGGGCGAGGAGGACGGAGGCATGTACAGAGATCGAGGAGCAGTTGGACCGAAATCGGAAGTGGGTTCCGTTGATCGGAAGCGAATCAATGACGTCCTTGACAAACAGCTTGAGCGATCGTCGCCGTCGACATCAAGGACCATCAACGGCAAGGATAGGTCGGCACAATCCATGCTGACCGGTAAGCCACACCCTGATCACAGGGACCCACGTTCTGCTCCCGTCTCCAAAAACACCAACGCTTCAGATGGTTAGGACCGAAATTACTTTCCTCTTCTGTGTATATATATAGAAGGAAACTGCGGAAAGCTCTACACTTTGTTTGCCCCCTTTTTGTCCTTTTTGGGCCTGATCTGTTTTCCATTGTAAATCGCGCTGTTTAGTAGGATGAGGCCGTGAAATGCCAGTGAAACAATGTCTGTTTTCTCACCTAATCTTGTTTAGGGGAACAATGGCTTACCTAATTTTCTTTCAATTGTCACCTTAGGTGAAGTGAAGGGGAAAGGGAAGGCTTAGCTTACTAAAATTAGAAAAGTTTCTCTTATTGGATTCATGATTGATTGTGAAAACTCACGTTAGATATAACTAAAATGCAGACATCAGAGTGGTATTGGTCAGTCAGAGAAATAACTGCTGTCATCAGTGCAACTAATTAGTTCTCGTATGAAGCAAATCATGGATAGTCAAGAGGAAAATACATCAGTTTGACACCTTCCCATTTACTTAGTTATGTACCCCTGGAAATTGTTTCGTTCTAATTACCTCTTTCCTATTATCTTCTATTTGTTGTGTCATTTTTTCCCTTTCAGCCCATTCTCTTCTCTAACAGATTCTAAGCTTTTAAAACATGATATATTCAATCGTTGGATCTGTTGCACAAAAGAGATGCTTGGCAGAATGACATAAAGATGATGGAGAAGGATATAAAAGATAGACAGGCATATTTTTTTCCTGTTGCTTAGGTTGTTGCTAATGAGCTAATCTAAATTTACATGCATTGGTTGCAGAGGAATCTGAAACAGACAGTGAAGAATCAGATGTTAGTGGTTCTGATGGAGATGACACATCTTGGATTTCATGGTTCTGCAATCTGAGAGGAAATGAATTCTTCTGTGAGGTTGATGATGATTACATCCAAGATGACTTCAACCTCTGTGGATTAAGCAGTCAAGTGCCTTACTATGATTATGCACTTGATTTAATTCTGGATGTTGAATCCTCCCACGGTAAGCTTGTTTTCATATATTCCTCATGTTGCTGTAGTGTAACTATGATGACCATTTGCTCCTTCTGTACATTGTATTCAACAATGGCTATTGTTCATTGGTTGGGATATATAGGTGACATGTTCACTGAGGAACAGAATGAATTAATTGAATCAGCAGCGGAGATGCTATATGGTCTGATTCATGCCCGATACATTTTGACAAGCAAAGGAATGGCTGCTATGGTCAGATTTTGCTTTCATTTATCCTTGTTTTCATGCATTACTATCCATAAAATTTGAACTGATAATGAAATTTGGAATTTTGCAGCTGGACAAGTACAAGAACTATGATTTCGGTAGATGCCCAAGAGTTTACTGCTCTGGACAGCCCTGCCTTCCGGTTGGTCAGTCAGACATTCCTAGGTCAAGTACTGTGAAAATATATTGCCCTCGATGTGAGGATATTTACTATCCTCGGTCTAAGTATCAAGGCAGTATCCTTATATATGTTTTTGTGTTATTTTAAGGTTCCATCTGGTGCAGCTATATATGAGCATGTCTGTCACAATTTGATTTTTCTTCCCCTTTAATGTGTCTCACTTCTTTCTTGCTTTTGATATCTGTTCCTTGGTCTGCCAATTGTGGGCGTAGTCTGTAGGGATTTGCCTATTCAGGTTCCAGGTTTTTTTGACATTTCCCATCATGCTTGCATTACATATATACCACTTCAGCATGCATACATATCAGAAACTGTTTCTTTATATGTGGTATGAGGGAGGAGTCTGCGTTTACTGATTCCTTAGATGATTTTTTTAAATGGATGCATTGTTAAAGGCACACAAGTTAAGCTAGTCATATATTAGAATATAGCTTGAGTTATATAGAGTAATGAATGGTTGAACATATTTGGATCCTGGACTTCATAATATTTCTGGGATATCAAGTAGGTTCTCTCTGAACAATCCTTTTAATTTTTAAGTTTGTGTCTCTTGTATTTGAAAATTGTTTCTCGAGTATCTGAAGACTACTAACTCTTTCTGCTGTCATGTGCCTTCATAATATTTTCTTAGAAGATTTCTTTTTATCTTGTTTGTGGTTTGTTTTTCCTCCGTCAAATAGATTTAATTGAAACTCATGTGGCTTTTGGGGATGATCGCATGTCGCCTTCTTTTCTTGTATGTAGTTGTGGGTTGAGTTTTACTGTGGATCTATGTCATGTACCTTCCCCTTTTCCTTAATCTATCCATCTAGACATTGATGGAGCTTATTTTGGGACTACGTTTCCTCATCTCTTCCTGATGACGTATGGACAACTGAAGCCACAAAAACCATCACAGGGCTATGTTCCGAGAGTCTTTGGTTTCAAAATTCATAAGCCATGAAGATTACAATTTAAAGCTGGAACGAAAGAGTTGCCCTTGTCTTGTTTAACTATCTTGTAATGTTCTTTGCAAGGTTCAGCAGATCATAAGATTTCCACATCAGTGCAATCTAGGCGAGCATATTGTAAAGAAATTTGCAGGAGTGTCGAGCAAGTGCTTTGTTTCAATTTCAGCTTGGAGTTCAGTGAACAAGTGCATAGGTTCTTTTATGCTCTTTCGATGCTCTTGTATTCTTGCGATTTGCTTCTCTTCATGCTGTTTTAAGATTGTGATTACAAATCCCCTGCTATATCTTATATTATTTTATTCCTTTTTTTCCCCTTAGCAATTTATGTAGCGATTGAATAGATGCATTGGCCTCAACGAATTCGGTTATTTTATAAATTCAGATTCTTATACTATATTGTCAAGCCTTTTCTACATGAGCAAACAATGGCGATCATGTAGAAACGGGAATACACATGCACCTCACATCGCAGACTTGATATTGTTTAATATCCCCTTCATTTATGCATTTTGTGATAGAATGACAAATTTTTAATTTGAGTTTAATAGAATTATAGCTTATGGTAAGAGTTGTCATAGTTAAATAGAACTATATCTACTATATAATAGCGTATCTTTTACATGCACTCCTTTCATGTGGGTATATTTAATGTTTCATTCTCTGATTATTTGTAAAATATAATTCATTAAAATTTGAATTTGATAATTTATTTTTAAGCAATTGAAGGTTTATTTCACCAGAAATAAAATCTTACTGTCAATTGGTAGAAACAACTAATTTTAATATTACGAAGTGTGAAATGAGTTATTATATAATATAAATAGTCTCTCAGAAATGTAATATTGGACACATATTGATGACATATTGATACATTATGAATTAACTTGTGGGAATGTAGCTGTGTATGTAGAAACATGCAATAATTTCCTTTAATACGAAGCCTCTAGATCGATGTGGAATGTTCAATTTGATTAGGACGACCTTCCAATATTGAAAATAATTATGAAGTCCAAAACTATGATTTTGAAAAAGAGCACCCTAAACACCTACAATTTTCCTAATCTTTATTTGGCATTCAAAACTCTCTCTGGAAGAAGAAATTCCCAGTTGAAAATTAATTCAAAAAGTTTTACTGTCCATTTTATTATTCAATATTTACATTATAAAAACAAAATGTCTTTTACTGTAATTTAGACATTTAAAATAGATTTTAAAAAATCATCCACACCTCTTCAATCTTATTAAAATCAATTTCAAAAATTATTGTCCAAACATTATCACATTTTGTTGATCAATTTTTCTTATAATCAATTTTCCTCAATTGAAATCCAAACCCACTCTAAAAACATTCAATTGTGATTGTGTCAGAATAATTTAGGCATCTTCATGACCTGAACGTAAAGTACGATTGACAGACAACCAGAAAAGCATTAGCAAGTAGAAATCGCAGCAGTAATTTTTTTTCCCCCTCCACACATGCATCTGATAATTGGAATCCTTCAGACCTGCATCGAGCCACCATTTCTCTAACACCGCTGTATGCTTAAAACTCGAATTCGAGACCTCAGCATAGGCAACTGCCCAAATCCTGACCAGTAATGCTACACACTCATTGGTTATCTACAAAATGTTAGCTATGCAGATCAGTTTGTGTGATGTAAACGAGATTAACCTATGCAGCTCACTCGTCCTCCACCCACTACTGCTTTTACAACAAAAAACAAGAATCAACGAGTGCCCTTAGACGAACCACACGATAATCAGAGTGAGATTTTCGGAACCTTATCACCTAAACAACCAAACAAGCCTAACCGCAAAATAGATCCTTTCCAGGGATACTACTGAGCACGCTAGATTTTTCTTAAGAAGACAATCACAAATGAATAGATGCAGGCATGCAGCTTCCCACCTGAGGGCAGGGGCCCAAAAACAAAACACTAAAATGCAGCATTGATTTTAAAATCAGTGTTCCCAACAATTAAATTAAAATGGCATTATCAGGCTAGAATCTCAGGCAAAAGTTGATAATCAAGAAACAACATAGTGCTCTGAACATGAACCACCTCTCGTCTAATTGCTCATAAACTAGCATGCACCAAGAGCTCAACTCTCAGTTTGTTCCCTCAACCTTCGAATGGTACTCCTCACAGTCACAGCACTTGCAGTACTGGAAAACAGCAAAGAAGTCAGTCAGCTGGCTGCTGAAGGTTTAAAAATAAAACAGAAAAAAATAAACGGCGGGCAGCAAAACCAAAAAAGGACTTACTTCAAAGTGTAAGCACCACCTGCCTTTACTTTACCACAATCCTTACAGCCCCATATTCCTACAGCCTTCCTCTTCACAGCATACTGCAACAAATAGGTTCACAATAAACAGTTCATCCGCTTCAATTGAATTGAAAATATCTTAGCTGCTAACAAACCCATGCCAAGGGTTGTGTTAAATTAAAAAAAAAAAAAGACCAGGTCAATCCATCATTGATATAACAGGAAAAACCTACCTTCCCACAAAATTCACAGAAATATTTACTATGTTGACTAACTTCCATCTTCTTAATCTGCTTCCGCAGACTAGCACCATACCTGGTACCTGATACAAGAAAATATACAAAACGGCTCTAGTTAAAAATCCCACGAAACTAGATATGACATGTCATTCAATAGCTTATCACATGACCAGTATATAACTCCAAATCTGTTTAGCCTAATTGCAATTGCACTAAGTAAATACAAAACAATTCATAAACAGGGCAAAAAATTCCAATTGGTCATGGACTCAGCCACTCAGGTACATTACTTCTGCTTGAAATCCTTATCTAGTTAAAATCTTGCAACCACCTGTTAAAATAGCAGTCCGAAACCTATTTTACCAGACAGCAGATATCAAATGCCTCGGATAAATGATTTTAAATAGCTGGCCACTCACCAATAATAGCTTTTCAAGAGGTTACTTGTCACATCTTTCAACGGGTAATGAAGTGATTATCCTTTTTCCTTTCTACTAATTGGAAGGGTTAGGAAGCCAAAGGCAAGGCACTTTTTTCAGGTCTGAACTTTCCATGTTCAGACCTTCCCCAGAGTCACAAAAGCAGTTTCCTTATGTTATAAAATCATTTTGGCAGAACTCTCACGCGTAACTAGCAGTTTAATCGAGTCATTTTAGACACAAAAAGACCAATCTATAAGTAGGAACAATGGGCAAAATATAAAATTACTCCTAGCAAATCAGACCTCGCTAACATCATTGCTATTAACACTTACCATACTTTCCAACAATGCCTGCCTTCTTCGTTCTCTTAGTCTACAACAAAGGGAAAATACGAAGTTAAACCTTGATGCACACAGAGACGCATAGACAAGCAAAATGTTTCTTGTAAAGTCAGAAAACGGTGAATAACTTAATTAGCTTCACAAGGCTATAAGCTTTCGGAGCGATACAAGTAAATCACAGATTTTACACGATATATTCCGCATATTAATCCATAAACTACTTATTGTACCAGAATCACGCCCAGCTCAATTAGCTTCTTGGGAGTGGCTTACTCGTATAATTACATCTGATATACGTACAAATGACATCTAATGATGTTTCTCGCGGAGTCGAACGGGTAAAACCGTAAAGTAAAACAAGAACTTCATAAATAGTCACAACAAAAACTCTTACACTCCAGAATCACAGGAAATAAAAGAAAATACCGTATGGCATGCAAATCAATGGAAGAGAAAGTACCATGTTTGGTTGCTCGGAGGCACTCTAGCACACAGGCAAGGGAGCTGCAACGAGGGGAGTACAAGGAGAAACCCTAGAAACCACTTTTTAGGGCGATGCGTCCGGGTCGGGCGGATTGTTCTTAGGGCGTTGAAGATCCGACTTGTTTGATCCTTAATAATCTGTTTATAATCTGTTTTATAATTAATTAAAATCATCTACAGAGTTCAACAACTCCGTTGTAGTCTAGATGGTTAGGATACTCGGCTCTCACCCGAGAGACCCGGGTTCGAGTCCCGGCAACGGAATTTTTATTTTTCCTTTTTTACTCGCCAGAAAGTTAGATTAATAGTTTCGCACTGTGATCTTTCCAAAAGACGATCATTATAGTTTTCGGGAAAACCACACATTAGCTAATGTAAAAATTATGCAGAATATATTTCCGTTGACAACTAAAGAAAATTTTGTGCAGTTGCGTTTCTTTTTTCATACACGAGAGTTGGATTTAAGGAACAAAATGATTACATAAATAATTACAAATTATTCATCAATAAAATTTTTACGCTGACAATGAAATTTAAATTCACAATCTTGCAAGCCATTGAATTAAATCCTTATCAATTTGATTAATTTTTATTTATGTGCTCATGTTTCTAGTGTTTATGTGAAAAATTATAGAAATAATATAAATTAACACGAAACCCATTCAACTAAAATCTATTATTATAAATGTGAATCTGGCCAATGCCTATAGTGTCATCTTGCAAGAGATTTCTCAAATCTTGTGGCAAAGGCTTTTAATGTAACGGAAAATAAATAAGCCACTAACAAGGTAATAAAATTATATTTCCTCCATCTTAAATTATAAGATACTTTTAGTAAAGATTTGGTATCTCAATATATAAGATATTTTAAAACTATTTAGTTTCATTAAATAAATTTATTTTAATATTGCCATTTCTTTCTATTTAATTTTTATCTCTCTTTCTTTTCAATATATTAAATGAAAGGTATTATTCGTCACAAGTTAATCATTGCATTTAAACAACAAAAGTACCAAACGAGCTAGGGATGTGACATCTCAAAGATAGATAAAAGGTAGTTGAACTCCTTTTCCTCAATTTATTTGAATATAAAGATACAAAGATAATGATATTGTGGTGTTTTGATTACTAAAAATAGAGTACAAAGTTGTGGTGATTACAAATGTGAAACTTAAAAAAAAAAATCTAAACCTAATTGCTGAAGTCAAAGTAAATTAAAATAACAAGTAAGCTATAAGTCTCTTCTTATGTAGATTATATCCTTCGGTTGCTCAGTCGAGCCCTTTTTAAAATCACATGCCTAAGACAGTTGTGCCTAAAGAATCAAGAATCATAACATAAAATGTATGTGATCACTAGGCATCGCCCTATGAGATTTGTGGCACATTAGATAACAATCTCATGTCCACTTAATAGTCTTCCATGTTCAGTTGCTCTGAGTCTTAAAGGGCTATGCCTCTTAGTACATGCTTGGCAAGAAACCTTATTTCAAAATAGACCAAGCCTTGAATTTATTTGAGTATTGGACCCGTCGTTTCATTTTTCTTTATCTTTGTTATTTGGGACTCGACGCTTCATTTAAGGTCCAAATAAGTGTTTTTATAAGTTTATATTTTTATTTTAAAAATAATAAAGTTATTAAATGTATTTAATAAAATTTAGTAATATGTGAAATTTGATTTAAAAGTATCTTATAATTTTAAATAGAAGGATTATCTATTTCCATTTAGATAAGATAAAAATCGTCATCATCATTATATATTAAATCCTTACTGTCCTCCTCCTCATAAATGGGCTCCATGATGCTTTTTACTCTAACTATTTTTATGCATTTTTATTACTCACACTGACATGAGCCACATAAGTCTCCTTTGAAGATGTGTCCAAATTAATTTTTTTTAGTTAAGTTATATTTGAACAGATTAAATAAAATGTGTGTTTATCTTCTTCTTTTTTGGGACAAAAAATGTGCTGTTATATTATGAATATTGATTGGCGTGTTTTTTTCCTTATTAGAGAAAGCAATGGAGGCAAGTGTAAGGCAAACAACTAACTGGTTTATACAAAAATTAGGAAGTTTCACCAACGAGAATTAAGTATAGTAAAAGGAGCTACTTTGTCATAATATGATCAACTAAAATTTAAATTTTTACTAAAAAAGATATATTTAAGAGTAGACCCACCTGCATATTGAGGCGGCTATTACCGTTTCATGTATGTGTTGAGATTGTGGGGTACTGGGGTTAGTGTTTCTGCAATTGAATGGGCCCAAAAAACAAAAAAATACTCCCTCTCATTCTCACAATTGCATTTGCAAGCAAAGTTGCAAACGGACTCAGCCATTTCCATACATGTATAATTCTAATTTCTTATTTAGTTATCAAATAAATAGATATAAAATGTATGTTATATTGATTTATAAAAATATTTTCATTATCTATGCAAGATTAATATTATTTTTTATTAAAAAAATAATAATAAGATCTCTCCAAATTATATAAATGACAATCCAGTTCCTTAAAATATCATAATTTCATTGAAATTTTTAGGGATCTTTTTATCAATAAATTTTAAATTAAAAAAATAATTTACCTTTATTGATAAGTTATAATTTTTTATTTAATTTTTGTAATTTTTGAATAAAATTGTAATTCCTTAAACAAAAGTTATGAATGGAATTTGGTATTTTCAAAATTTTTTTTCAATAATAAAAATTATACCTGACAAATTATGATTTTTTATTTAATTTTTACAATTACATGAACAAAAATTGTTATTCTTTAAGCAAAAATAGTGATTGAGACTTGTTTCTCAATAATAAAAATTATACTTGATAAATTATAATTTCTTATTCAACTCTTGAAATTTATAAAATAAAAGTTGTGATTCCTTGAACAAAAGTTGTGATTGAGACTTATTATTTTTAGTAAGAAAAAATAGTTTTTTGCTTTAAAATTTATTAACACAAAAGTCCCTAAGGACTTTATTAGAATTATGACATTTCAAGGAGTATTTTTATAATTTGGAGGGATTTTATTGTTATCTTTCCTAATTAAAAAGAGCGAAATTTATTTTTTTTGGTAAAGGAGTGAAATTTAATATTGATAAGGTGTATGTTAGTTTTTTACTAGATTTTTCAAAAAAAAAATTCTTGAATAAATTATTATTATAAAAATTAAGTAATTACTTGTATGAATTCATTTTATTATTTAATGTGCATATATTATTGATTAGTATTGGTTTCAATATATCAAGCATGTAATCTTTTTATTGTTTGTATTACATGCATAAATTAAATACTTCCTCCAGGCTCCAGCCCTATTTATAAAATACCTTTTAAACATAATTTTTAGTCTAAAATATAGGATACTTTGCAATAATTAAATTACTTTTTTTAATTTTATCCTTTCTTAATTAGCATAAAGGTGTTTAATATAGTTGTGTTATTATTTAAAGTCAAGGGTAAAAATAAAAGTGCATCTCACTTTTTATGATATTAAAAAAAAATAACTTTTCTTAATATGCATAAAACAGTTAAAAATATCATATAACAAAGATCGGAGGGAATGTATGACTTAATTTTAATTATTTTTAATTTTTTAAAAATATGATATAATTTTAAATGATTCTTATCTTATATTTTTTAATTTTGTAAAAAAATTAATTATTTTTTATTCTAAAAATTAAGAAATTTAAAGAATAAATTACCAATACATAAAAATAATTTTTATTTAAATTTGGCCCACTATCACCCTACCTATCGTGCTTTCGCCCTTGAAAGTGCTCGATTGTACCTTCAATAAAAGGATAGGTAAGCCACAAAGTCATATGGGCTAAGTGACCGAAAAGTCAAACCTAATTAACAATTTGAATAAAGAAATCAATCTCAAGCTCAATGGAAAGCCACGATAGGCTTAGCATATTGAAATCTCGCCAGTTGCAACCTCTGGATCGTTGGTATATAAAGACATTCCAAATCTTATGAGAATAGCATTATCATGTCCAAATATCGTAATGAGATGAGCTAGTTATCAAAAGGAAGACAGTGGGTAAAAACCATGCCGTGAGTTCTGCGAGATCCCTGATTCTTTGGAAGAACATTCTAAGCTTTAAGGAAAAGGCTGCTATCACTCTATCATTATAAATAGAGTAACAAAGCTCAAAAGAAAATAATAGTCAACACTCAAAAAACTTGTATTTTGCACCCATAATTTTAAGTTTATCAATTAATTTTATTTTCAGCTTAAACTGATAATTGACTTACTTTTTAATAATAATCAAATACTTATTCTATTAAGATTTGTGCATATTTTATATTTAAATAAACTGTAATATAAGAGTTTGAAAATTTTTATTATTATTAATTGAAACTCAATGTTTTTAGTTTTTAATATGCTTAGTAAGTTGTTTGCTGACAAATACATGTAAAATTGATTTTAATTTGGTGTCTCGAATCTTCTTGATTAACATGTTTGAATAGGGAAATGAGTTGACGTATCAACTGCGGAATATAATGTTGGCCCAGAACACGAACAGAGAAAAATATAAATGGAGAAGACGAAGACAATAATGATGGTCATGACACGTGCCAAAAATGAGAATTTAGGAGCACACAATTTATGAATTAATGGCGATCAGACTTTGTCTAGTTTTGAATAGTGACACATTTCAATTTTCATAGCCCCTCTCCTTCCCAAAAAAAAAAAAAAAAAAGGACTCTTCGACTATTCCAGCGTGACCCTTGACTTCATTCATGAGGCGGTTGTATCCTGTGCTTATCAGCCCAGGGCAATCCTGACCTTTCATATCAGTTTAAATTGATCTTTATTAGTTATTTAAATTAACTTTTAAATATTTTTATTATTATATTTACTAATATAAAAATGTAATAAATTTTAAAATTTTAATAAATTTGGCTTGATGAGCATGGAATGCGATGCTATTCATGAGACTAGACTTTTCTTTTGAAGAGGCATAAATAAATAATACTCCTTCCGTTAAAATATTTTTTAAGAAATTAAATATTTAAAAATATAAGATATTTTTAATCTTTTACGGTGTAATTATTGCCTTTTTTTAAAAGTATTTCTTTTG